GAAGGGGCCCATGGGCAGTGGGCCCCAGGGCCTCAGTAAAGCAGGGTCCCCCCCGGACAGACTGGCCAGCCATTGGCCCAGCAGCTGGCCACAGGGCGGTAGCAGAGCCACAGGGCTCACTTGCTGACAGCCTGTCCCTGCCACTGCCACCGTACCTGGCACATCACAAGGCGGGTAGGGGTCCTTGTCCTCATCCTCCTCGCGATAGTCGTCGATGGTAACCTACGGGCACAGAGGCATCTTGGGAGGAGGGGAGACACTGACTTCAACGCACTTCTGAGGGCCAGAGTGAAGAGCTAACCCTGCTGGCTGTGCAGCACAGGGCTTGGAATTCCTCTCCCAAGTGTGGGTGTGTCTGTGTGTGAGTGTGCAAGGACAGATGTCACCTGTACTTCAGATAGAAGGCCTGAAGGCAGGTGAGGGGAGAACTGGGGTAATCTGACCTGCACTACCCATGCCGCCCCTTTCCCACCCCAGCACGGTCACTCGCACTAGGAGATAAGCACATGTGAAGAGTCCTGCCTTCCCGCTAGACTGAGCTCCTCGAAGACAGCGACCTCATTGGTCATCCTCATCGTTGAATCCACGGGGTCTGACACAGGAGCCTCAGTAAGTATTCATCAGCTCACAGACCAACAAATGACCACGTCACCCTGACCTGTCATGAGTTTGACAGTGGAGGCCTGAAGCCACCCAGACCACCTGACCCTGGGACTCCCTCTGGAACAGACAGATGCTAACAGGACTAGGTCAGACCACACCATCCCAGTATAGCGGGGAAAACAGTGGCCGAATGAGCCCACTACATATCACACTGGTTCTGCGGGGAGATACTGGTTAATAGGCAGCTAAGTACCTAAAGGCAGCCAGTGTCCCTGGGAAGCCAGCATCTATGTGGCCTGCTATGCTCTTCACACCCAGATCTGATAGGAATGAAACATTTTCATGGTGTAAATGGTACGGATGTGGGAAGACCAACAGCATCACTTGAAAACAGAGAGGGGGATATCTGGAACAAATACCTTGTTGTCACTGTTGGCTATCTGGTTGACTTCGGGCTTGTTGTTCTTTTTATTTTCTAGGCTCTCTTTTCTACAGAGAAACCAAAGAACCATATTAGCACACATGAGAAAGCCAATCGAGAGTCTGAATCCATGGAGCTCCAGGAAGGGCAGACTGTGAGTGGGAATGACACTGACAGCAAGACTGCAGCCCCGCCCAACACAGAGCCTCCCGGTGCTGAGCATGGATCATTACAGATCCTCTCACTAAAGCTCTCATCCCAGAGCTGATCAGCGCTGAACGTGGCGTTTATTTTTATGATGCCAAAATTAACTACAATGATTATTTAAGCACAGGGACACGTGGCTCCCACTCTCAGCTCTGAGGGGTGAGAGTCCAGGGCCTGGCTTCTGCCTAGGAGTCCACTCTTCTGTCTGCAACACATGGTCACCTGTAGTCACCTGCAGCTAGAGTGCAGCACGATGACCCCATCAGGCTGGGACCCTCCAGGTGGCCCCCTGAGCAAACACCTCAGGTGAAAGTGGGCTTACCTAGCGATCTTTTTCCTTTCCTTTTCTTCGGCTTCCTCTTTCTGTGCAGTGTTCAGACTTTCAGCATCAGCCAAATTGTCTACAGCGATGGCCAAGAAGACGTTCAGCAGAATATCTGATTTGAACATTTTAAGGGTGCAATCGTTTCTCAAAGTGTGTGTGTGTGTGTGTGTGTGTGTGTGTGTGTGTGTGTGTGTG